GTTTCATTGCAAAATAGTTAATGAAATAGGTTCATGATGGTAAAACATTTTCATTTTTTAAATGATTCGTGATTCATGAACTAGTTTCATGGTGATCAATGTTGCATTGTAATCGAAATTGATCAGTTTAGTTGGTAGAATGAAMATGAAACGGGTGCATAATGGATTTTGTTCNAATTGATCAGTTTAGTTGGTAGAATGAACATGAAACGGGTGCATAATGGATTTTGTTCGTTATGAAATATACGTATCATGAAACGGGTGCATAGTTAATGAAATAGATTCATGTAAAATAGTTATTTAAATAGTTAATAAATTAGTTAATGAAATAGATTCATGTAAAATAGGTAATGAAATAGATTCATGTAAAATAGTTAATGAAATAGATTCATAGTTAATGAAATAATGCATAATGGATTTTGTTCGTTATGAAATTAATCTGSATATAAAAATTTCAATGTGAAAAGGTTTCATTGCAAAATAGTTAATGAAATATATTCATGATGATGAAACATTTTCATTAATAATATAATTTACCTGATATGGTTGCCTTGAATAAAAAATACTATGAATTAAATTTGTTTACCGATTCTACCCTTATTGATGAAATAAAATAAATATTAATTATTTTTTAATTTTTAATTTCCTAAAATAAAGTAATGTAATCTTAGCCATTGATAAAAAATGAATGGATGAGATTGGTTTACACGGTTTATACAAATGGGTCAAGTTTTTATTTGAACGCTCCCCTCTCTCTATATATATATATATATATATATATATATATATATATATATATATAATGTTTTGGATTTAGGAAGAGTAGACATAATTTTCAACATAAAACACTTGACCAAATCCCTAATTCACTCTTAAAAATACAGGTCAATCCAAATTGCGAGATTATCTCGGGGATAAACCATCTAATAACGGAATCATAATGATCTACACAGGCCCACCTGCTTGAAACGATTATCTTCTCGGTGGTGACTGGTAAGTCTTTCATGATTCAAAACCCTAATTAATTCTCCCTTTTTCTCTTCCCAAATCGGTTTTGATGTTTCCACTTATTAAAAGCTTTTCCATGTGTATTACTTCTCATTTATGACTACCTATTAATTCGAAGTTTCTACCGGATGCTTCACCAGTCCTGCAGCCAATGCAACAATTTACAATTCCACGATGCTACTGATTCATCTTGTAACAACTTCAACTTAGATACCCTTATCGATGACGTAACTGAGTTCATATGGCTATCGCCTGTAAAGAATAAAAAACGTGTATATATGTATTCATATCTGTGGTGGAAAGGCTTAGATTTGAGAGGAAATAGGTCAAAAATAGTGGGCTATTGGAATTTTTTTGTTCCCATTAGAAGTTGTACTTGGAGTTCTCTTGTCAAAACTACCGGTGGTGGAGCCTGGACTATTTGATGGGAATGCTTGAATTGATTCTTTTATCTGTAAATGCAGTAAAAATTTGACTAGTCATATATAAAAAAGAACCGCACTACAGTGTGTATGTGTGTGTGTGTGTAGTAGTGATATAGAGAAATGTTTCTTTTTAAAGCAAGCTAAGCGTAGATGCCCCATGAAATGTGGGCAAATTATCGTTTCATTGGCACAACCAAAAGAAAAAGGGAACCCTAAATGTTTGTGCTAGAATTGTGTGGGGTATTCTAAAAGATAATTGAAAATTTGCCTATACTAGTTACTACCTCAAAATCCTGGTGGATGTGTGTCACCTGTACACATGGTAGCTTTATCCATGAAACAGTGATCAAATAGACGATTGATAATGGTTGTTATATGCTACAAGGTTAAACCAAATAGCATGGTGAATGTCTGATTGTGAAGACCTTCTATTCTATCATTACATGGAGCAATTTATCGGCTGTAGTAATCACATATCTGTTAGAAGATAGAATTTGATTAGTAGTTAGTCTAGTTAGTTGTTGCTAATATCCTGTTAGCTCCATTTTGGTGGGTATACTTTTGTTGTTTATCTATTTACAACCCATGGCTCATTATGTATTATTTATATTGAAAAACTCCATGGAAAATTCTTTGGATAAGAAAGAACAAAGAGATCAGGATTGAGAAGATTCGTTTTAGTTTAGGTTGAGACATTGTGAGAGGAAACTTGGAGGGAGACGAAAGAAGATTTACCAAGATATATTTGATTAGGAATTAGAGATCTTAAAATTAGCTTGAAGAAATCTTGAGACTATCCCAAAATCTCCTTCAAGTTCGCAATTTAACCTGGCAAATTGTATCCCACGTCTTGCAACAAAATTTTGTCTTTTAAACCATTTTGGACTAAAAGCTAAAATATACGAGTTTTATTCTTCTCTTAGCTCTCAATTGCTGCAAGAATAACCTTGTTTGGATGTATAGCTGAAGTTAGTTCCAAAATACCAAGATAGTTTGGAAAGATACTTTCCAAAAACTCCAAGTCTACAACCACTGTTCTTTTTATCCACAAGGACCACAACTCTCTTTTCAAGGAAGTCCTCATGGTTGTTTGTCTCCCTTGAGAACTTGGTGTTTGATACCCATGTTTAGCCTTATTTTCAAAACTAGATTAGTCCAACCCATTTTCTCCTTGGAATCACCACTTTTCCCTTTAATTGTCATGCTGTTCTTTTTCAACCTTTTGCAAGGAGAATGGATAGAACATGTTAAAAAACCATATCACATCAAGAGAGAAACATGATGAAGCCTATGAACTAAATTGTATAGCATATAAATATATATATATATATATATATATATATATATAAAACTTGTTTTATCGGTTATATCAGGTCATCTCCTTCTTGAGTTTGAATTGTAATCATCATAAAACAAAAATCAAACAGCGTAATGCGAATAAGAAATTACTATCCATCTGGAGTAAGTTTTTCAATAACAGTATTGGTTGAGATTCTAGTCACACTACAATAGTAGTTACAGATTCCACAGTTGAGAATGAACTGATTAAAAAACGATTAGTTCACTATTTGAACATTAGGGACAGAGGATATAAGTGGTGATGGAAGAAGATTCTGCTAGGGAGTGCATAGACTTTTCTTGAGAATAAGTGGCATGCAAGTAGTGATGAAAGGATATTCTGAAAGGAAGGACACGGATTTCTCTTTAGAGCAAGTGGCAAAAGGGAAAAATGATTGCGAGAAGGTAGATTAGAAGCCCACTGAAGCTCTGCTAGTGTTGGATTAGTTGGAGAAGAAAGATGGTGTTGTGTGGTGTAGAAGAAAATACTATTTTTGACAGATTCTTATGTTACCTTTTTTACCAAAATCCCCCAAATTGCGAACAATGTTGTACTGTATTAAGAAAGAACTGGAATTAAATTAAATTAAGGTTTCTTATGTTTATTTGTGAAGGAAGAGTGCTCTCCTATTTCCTCTGTATGTATAGAAATTCTCCTAACATTGACRCATTGAATCAATATATATTTAAGTGGTGTGAGAGCTCTAAGTAACCATCTGGGAATTTCGTCTCTTTTGGCAGCTATCATAGGCTTAACTTTGAACTTCGTAATGATCCTTGTGGTTTTTGTTTAGCTTTGCTTCCACCATTTATATCAGTTCAGTTGAAAGATTTGGTCCAAGGGTTAGAACACACTCATGTAGTTTCTAGATTGGTAATATATATCAGAAAACTCTATGAAGTTCTCTTTATAAGAAACCACCTCTGTCCTCACATCCATTTTGTTTTTATTGCCGTCCATGTTATGTGTTAGTATGCAGCACCCCTCTAAGTAATTGTTGTATTCATTTCATCCTTTTCTATATTCATCATAAATTATGCAAGGAGAACCACAAGGAGTGTTCTTAGTGCTATCTGTCTCATCGCGTACACCGATCAAACATCTGCAATGACACTTGCAGGATTTATTGTGAGCATGCCCAGATTATGTTTTATTTTCCCTTGAATTTCAAGGATGCTTCGAGTAATGACATTTTAGAGGAGCTTATATGGGCGGCTTTCTAAGTATGGTTGGATTTCAAAATAAATTTTTTAGGGTGAGAATAGGGGTTAATAGGAGGAGCTATCTAGTTACGAGATGAGGAGAATCTGGTTGGTACGGACACCTTGTCAAATTGCAAATGATTAACATTTGTCCTCCAATTTGAGGATGCTAGATGCTAATAGATAGAGTTAGAATTGAATTAAATTTAGGGCTTCCTATATTTATCTGTCGAGGCCCATGGCCATCTTATTTACTATAGTCAGGGTTTTTCCCTCACCAACACCAACACATACATTTGAATTGCTCTAGAATACATACCTCAAAGCAAGCACTTTCTCTTCCTCCGCACTAAATTTTGAACTTCTGCAGCTACAGGATCACAATAAAGTAAATCCAAAATTATGCAGATCAATGTAAATAGTCTGCTTTCGCTTCTAGCTTCTGCCAATTTCAAATGCAATGCTGTTCACTGAAGAATTTGTACTCAAGAAAAATTCTATGTGAAAATAAAAATTTCGAATTTATTGGTTTGTCCTCCCTCGGTCCCAAAACAAGCTTCCACACGTCTATTTTAGTTCGTCCCAATATAAGTGTCCACTTTCAAAAGTAGGTGCAAACTTCCAATTCCACCCTTAATTATGGGATGGAGAAATTTATTACTCCCTCTATTATTAAGAGTAAAATTGTAATCTAGTTAACTAAAAAGTGTAACAATTACACATTTTTAAAACTGTGTGCCCTTTTCATTGTGGACATTTATTTTAGAACGGAGGGAGTAATAATCATCACCCACTAGAAGGAACTGTGGGAAGTGTTGACACTTGCTGTTCATCTGGACGTGAATCTTGTGCAACTGTTTTACCAACCCATAATGCCATTTTTTGATACTTTAGTATATGTTCATCTGCATTAACTTGAACGCATTATCTTTGTTTTGTTACATAATTCTGTAGCCATGGAAAAAAACACTTTAATTTCTTGCATGTAAGGTTCATATAAAACTTATATGGTACTCTTGTAGTCTTGTTAATGAACACGAGGACTATTTATATGATATCTTCTCATTTTTATTGTTCTACCAATGATGTAAAATTTTCATTCTCTGTTGCAACTATCAAAACTAACATGATGGAAAGTTACCATGTTATATGCCTTCCCATTGTTACAAATTACAAAAAGACTTCTAATCGCTATGTACAGTTTAATCAGTTTATAGCTTTTTATGCATGTCTAACTTGAGCTAGAATCGTGGATACTTGTGGTTGCATTCATACAAGTGGTCGTTGTCATAAAAAACTGGTTGCTTTTTGGAAGATTCTCTGGCCAGGAGTTAATATTGCTAGAGGGTCATAGGTGAATTTCCTTCTTACAAAAACTTCCCATTGACTGCCAAAATGTGTTTTCCACTCTTCCTGAGTGCTGTAATGGGGCAGATACTGCTTGGTATCGAGTTTAGCTGTTTCACATACATCTAGAATCCTTTTGTTTTGGCTTAGAATGTATTCTAAGCTATCTTTTCCTGTTGAAGATGGCATTGCTGAAGATAGGAATGCCACCAGGTAGAAAACATCCTCCTTTGGGGTCACCATTGATGTTTTAGTGTTCCACCTATAAGATATCACACAAGCAAGCAGATTAGACACCAGGATGAGGATGAAAGCTTTAATGCTAACCCCCCTTTCTTCCAAAAAAGGGGTACAACATGAGTTGTGTGGTCAAACATACCTACTTCACTACAAAACTTATATGAACACCATTAATTTCTTAGAATAAGTTTAAAAATACGATTAAGCATTATAGCAACTATCAAATAGGAAAAAGTGGGCGTTCATATATTTTTGAAAATCCCCATTAATTACGGTTCAAGTTTGAGTCAAAGTTTATCTGGTTGTTTATTGTCATATAACACTTAAGTCCTCTTTCTGATCATTTTATTGATTTACTGTAAGATTACCTAGATTTGTCAACTGGGTAGATGAGTATCGGCCCATTGCTAGTATCAGTGAGAATGTTCCCAAAGACTTCATTGGCAAAGATGTGGATTTTGCTTTTGGGAACAAGAAGATTTAACCATGGATGAGGAACATCCCATAGCCCCTTCTCCTGCAGTTTCAATTCTGACACATGAACTCTATCCAAGAACTCGACATATGACACTTCTGATATGAAGAGGGTGGATTCATTGTAATTCAGTTTCGACAATAAGCCTTCAATTTTCTGTATATTAACAAACGCAGGTTATAGTAAGTATAGGTTAAACTTCATGGGCATTGTCAGTTTGTTATTGCCATCTTTTTTATTGTTTTCTTATGTTCACCTGGTCAGTGATCTCAGTATCTTCTTCCTTAAAGTACTTGGCTATTTCCAGGCAAAAGACAGTCTTCCCTTCAGAAAAAAACCGACTGGCCTGGACTGGATCTTTGCAATTAAAAGATGATCTCCAGTTATTAAGGAGGCCGGTTCTGTTTATCAACACAAACCCTTCTACATAATCGAATGAATTATTAGACGATATTAGTTGCTCCTGATCTTCTGTAAATGCAGCAAAATCCATGTAAAGAACTCTGATCCATTTGACCTGTCAAAAGCAAGAGATTGGAGGTTGACTGTTATTTTCTTCTAGGGCAAAATGCATCAAAATGCCATGAAGCATGCTTTAATTCCTATTTAGTGTAATAAAAATTTCCAATTTTATGTAAAAGTTTCAAAATTTCCTGTTTTTACCAATTTGATGATGTGGTTGTCAAGTTTATCGTCAACTTCGCGATACCCCTTTCATAAACAGGTATCCACGTCATCATAGGTTACAAGATTAAGAGGTCACCGATCAAAACGGATACAATATTAAGAAAATTTGTTGCATTTTGCCATTTTTTCTATGCAGATCAAGTTTGTGTGAATTATGAATGGGGATCTATTCTCTTTTACCATTTTGGGTGCTGGCTCAAGTGAAATCTGGGCTCGGGTGATGATGCCAAACTGTCCTAATCCTCCAAGAACACCATAGAAGAGGTCAGAATTCATTTCTTCTGTACAGGTAACTACTTGTCCTGTCCCTGCACATTTATCAGTTAAAACAAAGCTTTATTTCCTCTAGTGGGTTTTTGAGAAGGTACTGCTTGTCTTCAATGATTCCTGCTGATTTACACAACTTGAATTTACCATCATACCCTTCAAGAATAGTCTTTTTCAGATACCCATTCGTTCCAAAATTATAGTTGTACTTTCTCTTTAGTTGGTCCCCCGGCCCCGAAAAAGTCTATTCCCATGCTATAATATGACAATGTCGTTAGTTTGTCATCACTATTTTCTTATCATTCCTATGTGTATCATGACATTGCCACAGTTTATTTACGAGAATAACCTTATGACAAATTATTTGAAATGCATGACTTTCCGATAGATTTAAGAACGTATTGGTCTGATAGAAGAATGCCTCAAAATCTGTTAGAAGGTCATGCATTTAAAAGAAAAATAGGTCAGAAGATTATTCTCCTAAATCAACAGCTTTCCCACACTTACTGTTTAGAAGTACTGTAAAGTTGGAAAAACTTTTTGCAAAATCTGCAAAATTTTCAACTGCAGACACACACACACACTCTCTCATGTAGGGGCAGAACAAGTATAATTTGCATGGAAGTACCTGTAACAACTTCTAGCTGGTAGACATTATTGATCTGAGGTCCATGTCGGAAAGCTTGTCCGCTGATTCCGGCATTAGATAACGTACCACCAACTGTTAGATGAAGATAATCCGTCCACGACTTCGGGGCCATCCCGTATTTGAGTCCCTCATGCAAAATATCTATCCAAAGCGCACCAGCTGAAACATCCACAAAAGGCCGAGTCTCCCCTTTGATATGAAACCGCATTTCTTGAGATTTCCCAAGTGATTCCATGTTTACGACCACCCCTTGATGGGCTTGTGCTTGGCCTTCGAGCGAGTGACCATGTCCACGGGCTGCAACCGTCAGCCCGGACGTGGGACCCATTTGGAATACATAGTTTATAAGAGAGGAGATATCAGAAACCGATTTGGGGTATAGAACAGCTGCAGGGAGGATACTGTATCTGTTACCGAAATCTTTGGCTGCATGGTGGACGTTGTCGATACGAAGACTGCCGTCCAGTTTCAATCGTTCCGTCAACGAAGCGATCGTTGCATGGTGTCCAAGATACGTCGTCGAGGCAGCAAAGTTGCTGGTGGAAGAGATTCTGTTCTGCCCAAAGTCGCAGCCCAATATCAGGGCCATCAGAATCTTGAGAACAAGGTTGGTATGTTTAAGCATGGTGGTGGGTGGCGGTAGCGGTAGCGGTAGCGGTAGCGGTAGCGGTAGCAGTAGCGGTGGATGGCGGTGGAGAAAAAAAGTGGTTATATGGTGTCTGTTAAGAAAGGAGATGTTTGGAATCCATAGAAAGAAATAGAGGTACTTGAGAGGCTTATAAAGGGGACTGAAGATATATGCTGCAGGATGCACTTGGCCTAGAAGTCGTCCAAAAAAACCAGTAAACTTTTGTTATCTGTCTGTTGACGAGATTTTCTTTTTGATATAAGTTATGGAAGTGTGTGTTAGTTATTGAAACCAACTTTTTCACATGATGGAAGTGTATAAAAAGTGAATTTACATCGACAAGTAATTGGAAAAGGTTTGGCAAATCCTACTGCACTTATCTTTTAGTTGCCAACTTTTTGAAAACTTTTCCAGTTTTTATGTGTTTTCTATGGACAATATGTATTGTGACTCATTTGCTTTTGTTTAATACTCAACCATTAAAAAGTATCCACCGTCCGACTCCGACAACCATTTTTATTTTTATCTCGTTTAAAAATGTATTGTATTTTAATCTTTTAAATAATATCATTTTTGTTGTAATAATATTTAGGTTATGCTTTTTTTATTTATTTATAAAACCAGGTTATATTTGGTAGACTAGCTGATAAACTAGCTTTTGACTGCTAAATTAGAGGCTATTTGGTTGGTTTTTCATAAAGTCGTGTATAGATTGATGATGTTTTGTTTGGGAGGAGCGTGTTTTTTTTAATTGGAAGAGGCGGATTTGGAAAAACTTGGTTTTTTGCAAAAACTTTCCTCTTGGAAACTTATTGAATAAGTCACTTTTTATATTGGTAAATCACTATCAAATAGTAATGTATAGCGGACCCAGATAAGTTGCAAGTACTATTAAGCTCATTAAGTTGCTAATAAACAAGACCGTTAGTTACTTTTTGGTAATAAGTAGCTGATACACTACTTCCCCGGTATTAGAATAAATGTTTATAATAAAAAAAGACATGCAACTTTAGATTGTGCAGTTATTATACTTTTTAATTAACTAAATGACAATTTTATTCTTGATAATGAGGAAGAAAATAATTTCTTATCAACTAATTAAGAATAGAGTTGGAAAAAAAAATGAACGTGAATACTTATTTTGGGATAGAGGGAATATATGATAATATAAAATGACCTAAAATAACACGTTAAAAGATTAATTGGAAATATATAAACAATTGAAAAAAGGTGGAAAAAAAAGGAAACTTATTAAAAACGTTTCTTGAAATAATCTTTCAAAAAGCTAGCGGCTAACCGAATGGATTTTATCAATTAGCTAAAAGAATAGCGTTTATGATTCTTACACATGACGTTAAGAATTTTAAAATTTAAAGAATTAGACAAAAAAAAAAACGTTGGTGCTACAATACGATCTAATTGCTTGTTTTCCAACACGTCTGACCCGCTCAATCAAAGGAATTTGAAAACGACGTAAACTCTAGAGGTCTTTGAAAAGTTGGCATCTAAAAACACATGATATTAGTTTAGTAACATACCAACCATAAAAGTTAAAGAAAATCATATACGAAATTAAGTAACGACACATCATGTTTACGGGTCTAATGATGGTCGATTTTCGACGGGTTTTCTAAAATTTGACTGAATTTGAGAAATGACTTGTTGAGGTTCAGAAAGAAAACTGTATTATTTTTGTTAAAATAGTATTCAACTTAGACTTTAGAGATTCAAATAGACATATCAGTATCGAATTAGGTATACACTGTTGTTATAACAAGTCTACGTCACTTTTGCATCTCCAGGTAACGTTCGTATTATCTTCTACCATTTAGTATAATCACATGTTTCAGTATCTTTGCTTAAAAAGGCAAAATGCATCGACATGAAACATATTTTGCCGTCTTTGTATGGTCCTTTTTTGGAGGAACATATTTCAAAAGCCGTATTTACGAGTCTATAGTTAAGAAAATGTTTATTTTAGTACACAATGTTGACGCAACGTGGTGTGTTTTTTTGTAAGTACATTTCTTAAAATAAATCTTTTCAACTATAAGTTGGGTTCCGGTGAAAATGAAAGTTAAGGTGAGAAGGGTAAGAAAGGATCCCCACCATTAGATCAATCCTAACTGAAGATCAACCATAATGAGATGCACATGATCAATTCTCATGAGAAGCGTAATTCATGGGATGGGCTAAGATCAAGGGTTCAAATCCCTTCTTACGTTTCTCACTTTAACTCCCATTCTCACACAATCTTTTGCTTCAACTATAAACCATTAAATAAACGAATTTAAACTACAACATTTTAAAAATACGTTTCTTTCGAAAGATCATTTACATGTCTTTAGAAAAAGTAAACGTGTATCTACATATTTACGCAAATTTTGGTCTCGATCACGGGTAAAAAATTCATAACGAAGAACCCAAACCCAAACCCAAAAGCCATAATTTCATCATGCTACTCATTTACACGTCACGACTAAAATGGTATTTACGGAATTTTATATAAATACGTATTTGGATTTTCAGGAATTGAAAAAAATGGCATTTACGGCCGAAATTTAATATAAATACGTATTTATTATCTTTTATAAAATAAAAAGTGTAGAGTAATGATCACAAGGGTAGTGCCTGATTGAGTTGAGCTTGGCTCAAATGTCAAAAGTACCAAGAGGTCCCATGTTCAAATCCAAGAAGAAATAAAAATTTCCTTAAGGCCATGGAGGTTCAAATGTGGTGACTTCGGGCTATTTGTAAAGTAGGTGGTCGTCCTAAGATCATTCGGCCCATATAACAACTTAGATATCCAGGTTAATAAAAAAAAATGTTAAAAGAGAAATAGAGCCCTGTACGCACCTTTTTGATATAGTGTTAAAATTTTGGTCAAACAAGTTATATTGGTCTTAAAGATGGGTCTTGAGATAATCTCCCAACCAATCAAATTTATAATAAGTGTTATTTTAAAATATATTATTTAAAAACTAGAAGCGTACTCGCGCAATGCAGCGAGATACATCGTGTTTTTAGTATTTCATTTTATTCTTTATCTCAGTCGATGTTATAATATGGCTTTATGTGATTTTGAGAAAGCGATAATGTTTTTATTTTTGAATAAAATATATGTTTGACGATATCATAAAAATTTGACAAAAATATATCGATATTAGTATCAAATTAA